CTGGCCCTGGGGGTGCCCTACCATGGGGAGGAGCCCCTGGCCCTGAGACACGCCATCTGTGAGATTGCGGCCAACTACAAGAAGAAGAAGCATGTCTTCAAGCTGAAGTGAGGCCCCCTCCCCGCAGGGCCCCTTCCCTGGCCGCACAGTTTGGCATTAGTGGCTGACTGGGAGTCCCTTGTAGGGGACCAGCTCTATGCCTTAGTTGCCCCTCAGGGACTTTTCAAATCAAAGAGGCTTGGAGTCCAGATTTTCACCTCTCAGCAGGTGCTGTGCTGCCTGTGAGGGTTCTGGTCCTGGGGAGGCTCTGGGTTCTGGCTCCTCTCCAGCCAGAGGTGGCCACAGAACAGGAAACCCTCTTTTGTCTTAGGCTGAGCAACGGCAGTGAGTGGCTCTTCCATGGCAAGGATGAGGTAAGTGCAGGGTGGCCTCGCCCAGACCCCAAAAGACCTCAGAGGGGCAAATGTCTCCCTCCCAACAGAAGTCCTAGGAGCAGCCCCCTCCCTGGTGGCCCATGACCCTCCCACCCTGCAGGAGGAGATGCTGGCCTGGCTGCAGGGCGTGAGCACCGCCATCAACGAGTCCCAGAGCATCCGCATCAAGGCACAGAGCTTGCCCCTGCCCTCCAGCACCGGCCCCGATGCCAGCCTGGGCAAGAAAGACAAGGAGAAGAGATTCAGCTTCTTCCCCAAAAAGAAGTAGCCTCTCTGGCACCCTGCCAGCGGGACCGGGCTGTGTAGGGACTGGCGGGGCGCCCAGGGCATGTCCTGCCCGCAACCCCCCCCCCCCCCCCCCCCCCCGCTGCCTGCACCTGCCTGCTCCGCCCGCCGGCTGATGCCCACCTCCGCCCCATGCAGCCCAGGGGCCCCTGGGGCAGGAAATGGTGTCCCAGGCACCCACCCTCCTCTCCCACCTGCCTCTCCTCCTGAGGGCCCTCCAGCCCCCAGACCCCACAAAAGCTGGAGCAGAAGAGGTTCCTCAGATGCTGCCCCCTCCCAAAGCAGGTCTTGCTTGGGGCCACCTCCCATTTGGTCACAGCCAGGGAAAGGGAAGAGGACACTGGAAATGCCTGACCTGCCCCTTAGGGGCGTGAGGAAGGAGCTTCAGGTAGGCGCCTAGGGCTCTAGCCCTGGCCAAGGGACTGCTGGGGGCTCCGGGGACACAAGGGGCCTCTTCCCCATGGGGCCTCCTCAGAACTAGGACTCTCACCTCAGGGGCCACCACATCCCTTCCCGCCTCTTCCTCTCACCAAAAAAAAAAAAAAAAAAAAAAACGGGAGGCACCTCCCAAGGTTGATGGGTCGTCAATGCAAGGGCCTCCTGCTGCCTCCGGTGCCCTCTGCTACCACCACAGGTGGTAAAAGGGAGGTAAAAGCTCTCAAGCGGGTCCTCTTAAAACAACAGAACAGCATAAGGCTCAGACGTGAAGGAGGCAGACAGACCTTGACACTACCCAAGGCTCTGCCTCTCCACTCTGGGAGCCTCCCCAACTCACACCCCAGGTCCCTTAGGGATAGTGCAGTTCCCCAGAGAGAAGATGGCTACCCCAGCTTTCTGCAGTAAAGCATCCCAAAGCCAAAGGCCCAATGTGTCCTGTCTGTAGCTGCTACCACCTGAGGGTACTGGCTGGACAGACAGCAAAGTTCATGACCTAGCCCTCTGGGGTGGCAAACGGAACCACACCTGGGTACTACCACCCATGTCACACCACCTCTGGACAACTGAGACAGATGCGGGGGCCTGGGCCATGAAGATACGGCACCCCTTGCTCAGCTTCTCCTGAAGGTCCTGGTCTTGGGGAAGTCACATGGGTGCAAAGGCCACCAAACATCTAACACCCCCATCCCCAAGCACAGCCAAAAGGAGCCCTGCACACTATTTCCCCCAGGGACAGCCTTCCCCATGCTGGTAAGGTCAGACTTCTGGAGGAAAGAGGTCACTCATCCCAACAAAGATCTCCCCCACCACTCGGAAAGCAATACAGCTCCAGCCTCCATCTCAGCTGGGTTTAGGTCCAAAAGAGGGGTCAAACTGGGGGCAGCAGGTGTTTCCCCCTGAAGAGACCATAAAAGTCCCTGGGGCCTTCAGCTGCTGTTCCATCACCTTCCCTATGAAGAGCCTTAGATACACCGTGATGATCCCTCTGGAAGGGGAGGAGGTTCAGGTAGCAGCCACAGGGTAGGCATCCAGAGTTATCAGGCCTTCCCGGGAGCCCCTAGTGGAGGTAGGCACAGCTTAGAGCTCAATGCCACCATGTCAAGGGGTAGCTAACTTCAGACAAGAACAGCAGGAGGCAAGTTCTCCAACGGAGCCTGACATCCCCAGATTGGGCGGGCCCACTTTGTAGCCAGGGTCTTCACTTGGCCTCTATGCATCTAATCCTACATCCCTCTTTGCATCTACAGGGAGGCTAGTATATACCACTCACCAGCCTCTTTCTCCACCTGGGGAAACCAAGGCAGGAGGCAGTGAGGTGACCACACTCACCTGGCAATGAAGAAGGCCTCTGGTGCAACTGAGGGCATGTCCTCCTCCGAGGCAAATAGCACGCTCCTTACTGAAGAGCAGGTAGAGGCAAGAATCTTCCTCAACTCTTTCCCCTGGACCAGTCTTTAGGGAGACAAGGGGCACCCCCCTCTCCATTCTATGTGTGCCAAAATAGTCACTGAGGTGAGAAATTTCCAGCAAGTAACTCCATAGTCCAAAGAATGAAAGGGCCCCAAAGGAAGAGGTAGGATTTCACCACCCCAGGTCCCCCAGACTGGGCAATGGCAGCCAGCTGCATGTGACCCACCAGCTATTGCCAGTGCCCCAGGCATCCCGCCCACATCACACGGGCCCCCAAGACCTCCACCAACAGCACTGAAGCTACACGAGCCCAGCCACACGGGGCTAAGCTCCTGGAGCCCTGGCAAGGGTTTTCCCCTCCTTACATTTTCTACTTTGCAATCTTTTAACAGTATTCCCAAACTAGGTTGACACAGCTCCAGTCCACACCAGCATAACAGGCTTCCTCCCCAGAACAGCTTAGAGGAAGCTCCTTCTGGGCATGGTCAGGTGGTCCTCCTTCCCTCTCTCCTTCCCCTTCATCCCCTGGCCTCAACTGACTGGCTGGGGGGTGGGGGTATGGAAGGTCCTCAGGCTTCCCCCCAGCCCCCACAACCAGCACCCGTAACAGGAAGCTTGTGGAAGGCTCAGCATCCCCACCACACCACTTCTCTTTCCTAGAGGAGGGCAACTGGGGTCCCCAAGGTTGGGCCTGGATCGCTCTCCCTTCCCTTCAGTGGGAGGGGGCAAGGACCCAGAGGACCGTAAGGGCCTGGTCGCTTGGACAAGCAAGCTCAGGGAAGACACGAGGGAGGAGGCAGCTCCACCAGACTGCAACCCTGTTGGGCACAGGCTGCACAATCTGGCACTGGCCCTGGGGCCGGCTGGGCCTTGTCCTCCACCTGCTCAAACGTGCTTCCACCACCAGAGAAAACCCACTTACTAGTTTTTCTAATAAACTGACAATGCTCCATCTTTCTGTTACTTATTTGACTAGTTTTGTTTCCCCTTGAATTGGAGCAAGGAGGGGTAGTTGAGTGAGCAAGGGCAGGGAGGGACCACCACGGAGACAGAGGGAGAGCCAGTCTCTGGTTTGTCCCTGGAGAGTCTCACGCCCGTATCCAGCTGTGCGCCTTGCCTGAGAGCCTGAGTGAAGCTTGCTCATTCACGCATTCAACCATCTTGAGGGTCTGCGGCAAGCCCTTCCCCACAGAGCTCTGGACAGAGATCTTGGCCTTCACTGGACGTCAGAATCACTGGAAGTGCCATGCCTGAGATTCACCTCCGGGGGGGGGGCAATTTCTTTTGGTCTAGATGGATGAAACCGGCATCACCATTTTTCAAAAGGCTCCACTTACTCTCAGTGGTAGCAAGTGAGAACCAGTGAGCTGTTCAAGGCTCCCAGGCATACCTAACTGGTTAAAGATCACCTGGGGAAAGTGCTCACTACAACTTCCCAGGCCCTACCCCCCTGAAAAGTCTGAGTCAGGGAGTTTGAGAAGCAGTGCATCATCTATTTTCTTCAAGTTGCAGATGAGGAAAAAAAGCAAGGGTTCAGGTGACCCAGCTAACTAAGGGCAGGGCTGGGACCAGAACCTGGGTGTCCTCACTCTCGCTCCAATACATTCAGGGCTCCTGAGCATCACACCCCAAGCCTGGTAGGAGCCAACTATCCTCAGCAAGAGTGGAAGTGGCCACAGAACATTGAGGACAGCGGGTAGCTCTGCCCTGTCTGCTTCTGCCTAGGAGAGGCCTCCCCTGGCCTCCACTCCTCCCCTGATCTCATTAGACTCTGCACAACTGCCTTCAGGTTGAGGCCATCCTCCAAGGTCAGAAGCTCATAGAGCCCGGACCCAGCAGACCTGTGGGAACACTTGCCTGGAGGAACAGGGCCAGACAAGGCTGGCCCACCACAGAGAAGGGGCAGAAAGCCCAGTCAGAAATCGGCAGGCGCTCCCAGCCCTTTTGAGAAAAGACACTTTGAGAATGAGATGAAAACTGAGGCTCCATCCCAGAAAAAAATGCATTTGCTCTCCTCACACGACACTGCAGGCCACCTCAAGACATGTCTAGTCTCCAAGTTTCGAATCCTTGTCTCCTACAACGTCTCCTGGGAACTAGAGAGGGAGAGAAAAGGCACCAGACATTGGAAATTTCTGCCCATTAGAAAAATGTTCATTTTCCTCACCTTTTTTAGTCCAACTCTGGTCCTTGAGGATAAGAGCTCGAGGTTGGCACGGCGCTGTTCCCCCCACCCGCTCCCCCACCAGCACAGGATGCCAGGCCGGGGTGGGTGGAGGACAGGTTCCCTCCTGCACGTGGCAAGCACCCTGGTGCCTTATGCTTCGTAAGCACGGATGACGAGGGAGGGAATGTGGAAGCAACCACCCCCTCAGCCCACCTCGGCCAGCTCTCCCCACCCCGCAAGGCCCAGTGAGGAGCCACACACAGGTCGGTTGGTGAGCAGCGGGTATTGCACCATTGGCAAATAATGAAATGTATATACATTAGCAACAACCACAGGGTCAGCAAGACAACCTACAAAAGTACCTGAACCGAGTCCGTTACATTCTTCATGGGAGAGGAATCAATAACAGAAGAACACACACTCACAAACATGTGCACATACAAAGATACCACAGAATGGAAAGCAATAAATTACGGGCCTTGTTCCTGCCTGGATCCTAAGAAAAGGCACAATTAAAGAGCAAAGCCTCCCCACGCCACTTCCACGTCTCCTCTGGGTGGGCTCCTCAGCCTGGCGGTGGTCAGCCCAACACCAGAGGCCTGAGCACAGCTTGCTCTCCCTGGAAGAGGAGAGCTTTAATATTCAGCTTCTTACTAGGGAAGAACTATATATAAGGGAAGTGGCACACTGGCCTCGGTGGGGAGAAGGGCTCAGCTGGGCCTATGAAGGTTGCCATGAGCCCCGGGGAGCACCGGGGCATTCCCAGCATTGCTGAGCACACCAGAGCATTCTTTCAGGGGCTCATGTGAGCAGGGGGAGCCCAGGCTTGTGGGCAAGCATGCCAAGGTTCCTCTGCGTCCCCACCCTGCCGCACGGCTTCTCCCTCTCCCAGGACTCAGAGTCAACCTATGGAGTTCAAGGCCTGGAATTTCTCCCTCAGGTTTCTCACTCGGCCCGGCTGGCCTGGGTCCGCTGGGTCCCTGGGACCCTCTTCCTTTGGCCAACACTCCGGACTCCTGGAAATTCCAGACTCCTGGAAATCCAGGCCCTGTCCCACCGTGGCTGCTGGTGAGCTGGGTCCCTGCCCATTGCGTTCCTCCAGCCCTGCAGTGGGGCAGGGCAGGGGCCCCTTCTCCATGACAATCACCCGCCGGTTGTCGTCGAGGGTGAGGTCTGCGGTGACGTACAGGGTCTCCTCTCCGACTGGCCTGTTGTGGGGCACCCTGCCGGGAGGCTGGGGCTCAACAGCCTCTGGGCCCGCCCGGCCCCTCCTGGCGCCCACGCTGCAGCAGCGGCCCACCCTGCCCGCCAGAGGGGGCTCCAACATGTTCTCGGGCACCGAGCGGCTGCGGCTGACAGGCGGGCCGCGGGGCCGGATGCCCTCAGCCTGCAATGCCTCGTCATGGGAGGTGTACTTGGAGCAGAGCTCTCGGACATCAGGCCAGCTGAAGGTCTCAGTGTCGAAGGGGCTGAGGGGGCTTCGAGAGGAGGGTCGGACCCCAGGTGAGGTGGTCCTCGGGCTGGCAGCAGGGGGGCTGAAGGAGAAATGCCGAGGAGAGCTGGGCTTGGGCGGGCTGTGCTCCTGGGCCACCGTCTGCTCAGAGCTGAGGAGGGACAGCACCGGCTTTCTCTTGCCTGTGAAGAGACAGTAAGTGGACTGAATGGCTGGGCGGGAGGGGAGAGGGCAAATGAGGACTCTGCCCTGCCTTCTGCTCACGCTCCAGCCAAGGCTGCTCACTGGGGTTTTGGTTGTGAGGGGAGAGAAATCACATTCAACATCTCCGGCCCCATTATCAAAGGGCAATGGGAAGGGGGGGGGCCCTGGGTGGCTCAGTCAGTTAAGCGTCTGCCCTCAGCTCAGGTCATGATCCTGGGCTCCTGGGATCGAGTCCCACGTCAGGCTCCTTGCTCAGTGGGGAGCCTGCTTCTCCCTCTGCCTCTGCCCCTCCCTCTGCTTGTGATCCGTCAGATAATAAAATCTTTAAAAAAAAAAAAGAGCAATGAGAAAATGAAGAAAAGGAAGTGAACAGAGTCAGGAGTCTAAGGAAAAGATGAGAGCCTCTAGTCTCCTGGAAGAGAGGGCCCATGGCCACGTTTCCTCCCAAGGTCTCTGCTCCACAGGAAGGGCTCGGGGAGGGCAGTGAGGAGGCTCAACCAGGGCCACACACTTGGCCTTGGTAGTTAAGACTAACCGCCAGGGCTCACACCACTCCTGTGTGGAGTCCAGCCCTCTCTTTGGTCATGGATCTACAGGGGTCACTTTCCCCCAGGAGCCAACCTGCTCCTAAAAGGCTCTTCCACCCCAGACTTGCAGGAACGGCCCACTCCCCACCCGGGTAGTTGTACCCTTGCCGCCAGAGGGCGCTCCGGCCTCCTCCTGCAGGCAGGGAACGGTGGGAGCTGCCTTTCCCCACTGTAGAGGTGGCCTGGCTGTCACAGATTTGCTCTTGATCCGGAGGCTGTACTGGCGGGCAAGCTGGTAGACCTTGTTCTTGACTCGCTCGCTCATGTGGCCGTCCATCACGTGGGAGAGTTGGACGATGCGGGGGTGCAGCGGAGTCACCAGCTCCCCCTGGACACCACTGCTCAGCTCCTTCACCAGCTCCTTCAGCTCCCGGGCCAGGTGGGCTGCGCTGGGCCGCTCCGTGGGGGAGGCGCTCTCAGGGGAGGCAGTGGCCGACTCCTCAGTGATGGCCCCCAGCTCGTGCTCCTCCAGGATAAAGAGCGGTTCGTGCAGGTCAAAACCATTGGCCTGGCCTTGGCGGGGCCCCTGCAGATAGCTCTCCCCGGGAGACTCCATTCCCTCCCAGATCTTCACAATTTCTGAAGATGGCCGGAACTCAGCATCTGTGATAGGAGCTGGCTCCCCTGCACTTGCCTGGCCAGGTCCTGGGAGGTCAAACAGAGCCCACGAAGGCGGCCGGGAGCCCACCTGCCTCTTGTGCCCCAGCGGAGCCAGAGGCTCTGGGTCCGGCCTGGGAAGGTTGTTGAATCTGGAAACAGAGTTTCTCACCAGACCCTTGGGGATATAGGAGAGGCTCTCCCGGCGCCGGATGCTAAAGCCCACATCGTGGTGCTCTGCGTTTTCATAGTAGCTCTTGATTCTGTCCAGCAAGAGCCGATCTCGGGTGGAGAGGGTCGACTCCTTCTTCTTGCAGGAAGACCTGTCGGGCTCTGCTGGGCAGCCTGGACTCGGGGGCTCCGTCCCATTGACCGAAGGGCCACTCTCTGCAGCCACTCCCACAGTGCTGTCCACCTCTGGGGGCGGCTGTGAGCCGAGGGCGTCCGTGGTGCTGCCGTGCCGGGTCGGGCCCTTCTCGCTGCCCTCGAGGCTGAGCACACTGCTGCTCCGGCTCGCCAGCCTCGGGCTCCCAAAGCCGCTGGCCTTGCCGTCCTCCAGTGCCAGGCTGCTCCGCCGAGAAAAGCTGCTGACGAAGCGCTCAGCGATGATGCTGGCCTGGTCCAGCACAGAGGGCGGCAGGAGGCTCTCGGTCTCCTGGGTGGCCCCCATGTCCTCCTCCTCCTCCTCCTCACTGCTCAGAGCCTTAAGGTCCTCAGTGCTCTCGGCCACCACAAAGCCCACCATGTCACTCGGGGGGTCCAGCCCCAGCAGCTCCTGGTGGGCATCAAGCTGTGCTTCCAGGACTTCTGGAGACTCTGTGTCTGAGGGCACCTCCTCAATGCTGGGAACTTCCATGGCAGCAAATACTTCCTGCTCCATTTCAGGTTCAGGGTCTGGTTCAACCTGGGATAACAGAGCTGCTATGAGCCAAAAGCCTCCCTCATGAGACCCAAAGGAGAAGGGGACAGCATGGCCTGCTCAAAGCCCAGTGGGAGATTATGTAGTTTAGGACCAAAGGCAATGAGAATGAGCACAACTCAAGAGTGGCAGAGGCAGGCCCTTACAGAGAGGAACGTGGTGATGTCCCTCAGTCATCATGCAGCTAGTGGCCTTGGGTTGTAAAACCCAAGGAAAATTCTAGGAACGCAGATGGGGTAGAGTGGAGGCAGCTCTCAGTGACAGCCTGCCTGGGAGCTACAGGGACAAAGTGGGAGCACACAACACAGGGTATGCCTGATAGAGAGGCAGCTTTCTAAAGCCCTATAGAGACCACATGGGGGCTTTTCTGGGTTCAAACCCAACTACCCCGAGTGGCCACGACCTCCTGTGCGAACGAGGCTCCAGAGGGCAATAGAACCACATGATAGAGTCCCATCAGAGCGGGTGAAGACAGGGATTTGGCTCCTACCAGCCAGCCTCTGGCCGTAGGCACAACGTTTGCTTGTGCCCAGGAGACAGGTAAGGAAGGAAGGCAATGTAAGAACCTCGTCCTGACCACCTTGAAGGTCATCTGAACCACAAAACCAGCCAGTACAGGCAGCTTCCCAGAGGGGCCTTCAGGAAGAAGAGCAACACTCTCCATTCTGAGGAACCAGACCTGACCCCAACTGTTCTAGTCCAGAGTCTGCAAAGCAGGACCCATGGTCGCGGCCGGCACCACACTGTGCCGAGCCACAAGTGGCTTCTGAGAACCTGCAACGTGGCTAGTCCAAACTGAGAACAGCTGGAAGGGTAACATACACACCAGATTGCAAAAACTTCATACAAAGTATAAAATGTCATTAATAGCGGGACACCTGGGTGGCTCAGTTGGTTGGGCGACTGCCTTCGGCTCAGGTCATGATCCTGGAGTCCCGGGATTGAGTCCCGCATTGGGCTCCCTGCTCGGCAGGGAGTCTGCTTCTCCCTCTGACCCTCTTCCCTCTCGTGCTCTCTATCTCTCATTCTCTCTCTCTCAAATAAATAAATCTTTTAAAAAAAATGTCATTAATAGCTTTTCCCATTGATTACATGTTGAAATTATAGTTAACATTCAATAATTAAATAATTTGTTTACACGGCTGCTAGAAAATGTAAAGTTATCCATGTGGCTTGCTTCCTGTTATCATGGAACAGCACCACCCCAGACTCCTATCCAGTGTCAGGGTCCTCAGACCTGCCCGGGTTGTGAGGTCTGCCCTGGAGTCAAGGCCTCATACACTTCTTCTTGTAACTTTGGGAAAACAAAGGTATCGGTTCCACCCACAGACAGCGTGGGGTGTCAGGAAGTGGAATGCGGGCTTCTAAGTCACAGACTCTGGTCTGATCTCAGTTCTGCCCCTCAGAAGCTGCCCGACACCAGGCACGTCACTCAGCTTCTCTGAGGCTCTTTCTGCCTGAGCTGTTGCAGGGAATAGAAGGAAGAAATAAAACATTGGACGTGTAGGAAGTGCCCAGTAGATGTCAGTACCCAGGGAGGCACAGTCGTGAGTGCAATGTCTGGCCAGCTGGCAGGGGCAGGGCCTTATGGCCTATACAAGGAGGCCTGGCTGGAGGGACCTAAAATCTGGTCATTTCTGCGAATATGGCCCTTGATAAGAGACTGCGTCTTGTCAATGGGGTTTCTTTTTCTAATTCATAGAAAGGGGCTACCTGCTCACCCCACCGTATGCCCAGAGGCCAGACAGGCTTCCTAAAGGGCCAAGAGTCCGGAGAGGGGAGCGGGGGACCCCTGTGTCCCCATGGGCCCAAGAGGAGAGCCCGTCCCAGAAAGCCCCACCCACAGACCTGCGCTCTGGGCACTGCCGCACTGGCCCCTTCCGCCCACCGGCCACTCACCTCTGGCAGGGAAGAGGAGGTGGACTCGAAGCTCATGCGCTTCTCAGCGCTCGTTGGAGACCGGCCGCCGGACCTTCTGCGGCTCTTGGGGCCTTCGGACTCCCTGTGCCCCTTCTCCTGCAGCAAGCAGAGGGCCATCGTCAGCTCCTGGGACAACTGGGAGCTCATCCCTTCTGCAGCCCAACATGGGCGAACCTTCTGAGCCCTAAAGGGGCTGGGCTGTATTGAGAGCCAGCCTGAGACCTGAGCCTGAACCACCAGGTCTGGGGATACAGAAATCCCTGCCGGGTGTGCAGCCTCCGAAAAGCCCAACCCCCTGGCCCCTTCCAGCCCCACTGGCTTCTCCCCCTTCCCCACCACCCCCACCCCGTTAGTCACGCTCACTGGGTAGGACACTAGTTCACGCCCAGTACTGAACAGCACACATGCCAAGGGCTCACCAGGGCGTGACAGCGGGCAAGGGGTTAGGTGCTGATGGCAGGAGCGAGGGAACAGGACAGAGGGGTGGAGGGCAGGGCAGAGAACTCCCGGATAGGCATGCGCTCGCCAGGGAACATGCAAGGAGGAGGGGAGATCAAAGAGACACCTCACCATAGCGCCCCGGGAGAAAAGTAAAGCGTTGGCCCGATAGTGCCAGCAGTGGAGGGCGGCCAGCAGGGAGCTGGCGAAGTCGGCTACCTGCTCCGCCACTGCCAGGCTCTCCTCCTCCTCCGAGCCTGGGGGCTCCAGTCTGGCCCCCTTCTCGCTGCCTTCATGCCCTGCCAAGTCCTCCAGAGACACCTGAAAGGCCTCCTCCACCACCTCCTCCTCCACCACCTCCTCCTCCTCCTCCTCCTCCTCCTCCCGGGCAGCCCCTTCGGCCTCCGGCTGCAGGCCCTGAGCACAGGGAGGCCGCCCGAAGTCCAGGAGAGCGCCGGCACTGCCTGCATGCTGTTCAGAGCATAAGACCCCCTCGTGACCAGGCTCTGGGCAAGCCCCCTCCTCCTGCCAGTGGCTCGGGGTACGGAGGCTTTACACAGAGAAAACTGCGCCTAAACACCCAAGCCCTGGTCTCCACCAGGGCCCAGGGAGGAGCAGGGTGGGCGTCCTCAAGGTGGGAAGCTGGGACCTGGGAAAGCTGGGGCTGGGGCCTGCTCAGGAACTCAAGACCCAGAGAGGCCTGCCTGCCCCAGAGAGAGAAAATGGAGAAGATCCAGGCTGGGCCACCACCAGGGTACCATTCCAGGAAAAGGGTATGGAAGGATCCCCAGGGGGCCACGGCTTATTCATCTCTGTGACTCTTGTGACAGCCGAGCACACAGTAGGGGCCTGAAAGGTATTTGCCGAATGCGCGAAGACGACGAGAGCCGAAGGGGCCAGGGCACTGACCTGGCAGTCCCACCCCCTCTGTCAGGCCAGTCCTCTCTGCCCACTGGCCTTACCTTCATTTCTGCGGCTCTGGCTGCACCCACCACGGCCAGGTCCCAGCACACACAGGCGGGGAGGGGAGAAGAGATCGGTAAGCAGGAGAAAGAGCCTCTTTACAGAGACCAGGAGCCCCCCAGGGAAGGCTTCACTGGGGCTCCTGTTCCCAGAACCTGCGCCCAGTCTCCCGGGCTTTCAAAGGAATGACTGACAGAGCAGAGGCCCCGGGGGACACAGGGCAGCACAGGTCTATGCCCCTCACTGTGACTGTTACCCGAGGACAGGAGTGTGTGGGAGGGAGAGCTCAGCCCCCTCGCCACACAGCAAGGGGGGAGGCCCACCTCCAGGGAGGGGGAGAGGCAGGGTCCCCTCTAAACTGTCCTCAACACCCAGAGGGTTACCTGTGTCACCTCCCTGCCCCTCCCCTAGAGCTTGCCAGGAAGGGCTGGCCATGCTCACACTCACCTTTCTCACTGAGTTGCCTGAGCAGGTGTCTGGTTGGCTCTGAGAAGGAAAGCGAGTGGACAGTCAGTTCGGGCCTGGAAACAGCTGTGTCTGGCCCTGGTCCCATGCTCACAGCGCCACCGCCACCACCAGCTCAAAGTCCACTCCAGCCTGGCCCCCCTCAGCCCTAGGGCCTGAGGGAGGCTGCCCTCCTACCTACTCCACAGGGAGGCAGCGCCCGGGCCACCCCCATCCAGCACCAGAGACCTCTGCTGTGACTGCCAGCACCCCCCGCCCCCAGGAACAGCGCCACCCAGAATCCCTGCATTAGTGCACCCCGCCCAGGGCCCTTTGTTCTGGAGCTATAGTCCCAAGCTGCCTCCTTTCAGACCAACTCACCACATTTCTGGAGAACCTCAGCTCTACCTCAAGCCCCACCCTCCCTGCAATAAGCACATGAGCGCATTAGCTACACCCAAGGCCAAGCCCCCTTGTAGCACCCCAGCTGGAAAGCAGAGGTCGCACCCGACTTCCTACGGCCGTTAAGGCCTGGCTCGATGAAGCCTCGCTGCCTGCTGGGGAGTGTTGCCCGGATGAACGAGGACTGACCAGGCTCTGGGAACAGGATACAAAACACACCCATTAGGCTGATGGTGTCACCCCTTGTAATCCCAGCCTTTCTGGGAACAGACCTGAGAGAGGCAGGCAGGGATAAGACGACATGTGTCCAGGGACTCTCCACAGAGTCTTGACCTTAGCCCACAGTGTTCTTGCCCAGCTGGTGTTAACCGGGGAGCCCGCTATAAACTCAGAGGCATAAGGGAATTCTAGCAGGGAGTCACACTGCAGAAGTTTCTTCTACTGAGACGCGTGTGTGCGTGCACCCGATCTGCACAACCAAAGTACGCTGTGAATCCGATTGTTTTTAGAGAAATACAAAATGCTCTACTTTTTCATCTTAACACTTGCAATCAAGAATATTTAACAAGTGACAAGTGGTGACAGCAGCACCTCCCTTATCTAGAGCATCCTCTCTGCCCATCTCAGATCTCTGGGAAAAGGAGGCCTGGAGGCAGAGTGGGTGACTCCAAGCTTGCGTGGGGCCCCATCTCCCTCTCAGCAACTTGCTGACCTTTTTTTTTTTTTTTTAACATCTTTTTTTTAAGTAATCTCTACACCCAACATGGGGCTCGAACGCACAACCCCGAGATCAAGAGTTGCACACTCCACCGACAGAGCCGGCCAGGTGCCCCTTGCTGGCCTGTCTTTACCCACACTTCTCACAAGTTCAATCGACTGATTTCAAACAACAGAAGCAGGGAGAAGAGCCGCTCCAGGCGAGGACTCTGCGACAGACAAGAATCAATGCCTCCGGGTTAAGGGTGGACACCACACCTCCGGTGTGCAGCCGCCATGGCGACCCCCAGCCCCAAGCAGCGCACACGCCCAACAGATGCTGTCGCACCTGCACCAGAAAAGGCAAAGTTCAACAGTGGTCGGCATCCTCTACCATAAGAGGCTCAAGGGATGAAGCAAGTTTTAGATAGACGTTTGTTTCATAATGGTTAGAACTCAAGTACAAAAACAAGCAAACGGAACCTGACTCCATCAGGGTTCACAGGCTGAAATCTTGGTTCTGTGGAAACTGAGCTCTAAAATGACTCACTGCCCACGTGCCCCAATAGCCACAGTGTGGGTGCTGACATCATGACAGGCAGTACTGCGGTTCCTACCACCACCACCAGCTCTTCCATGAGCCAGAAGCTTCCAATTCAAAGCTATGGAAGGTTAAAGGGGAAGGCTAGAAGGACAGGAAGAGCATCATAGGAGAAAGGAAAACAACAAGGGCCAGAAAATTACGAAGTAACACCCCCCCAACTGGGGGCTTTTCACGTAGGGTGTCATAAAATGTTTGCAACCATCACAAATTTGCCTAGGGTTCAAGGTCCATTGGGCGTAATACCAAATAAAACAAAATCACAAAAGCTTTCCAGAGACCACTTGGCTCCATCTTCCAGAAGACCAAAGCCCACATGTCAATCCCCAGAGTCGTTCAGGGGACCCATGGGTCATGGCCAAAGCCCAATGCACCCAGGAGACCCACACCAGGACAGTGAGCCAGTCACTCCCGAAATCTTCTCTCCAGCGGTCTCTGAGACACTTCTCACTCCAACTCTCACCTCCTCTATGTTTGGCGGTGCCCAGCTGAAGCTAAATCTGTCCCTGGGCCTCAGACTGAAGAGCAGAGTACAAGCAGACAAACAGACGTAGAAAACACACACCCTTATCACCCCCAGAGCTAAGAATAAAAGCAAGGTTTTCTCTTTTGCAACAGACGATTCATTCCAATAAACCCAAGTACATAGTAGCAAGCCCAGTCATGGAAGAAAACCCAGCAGAGGAAAATGGAACTTTTTCCTGAGACCCAAAGTAAATATTTCCTGTCTGGATTTGGTGCCACTTGATGTCTAACTCGTTTTCCCCACGTCCTGCCTCTGTTCTGCTCCAGAACTGGGCTGGGGAATCACCCATGACGTCTGAGCGTTGCTCCTGGCTGAGTCCCAGGATTCTGAGAGGCAAAGGAGCAAGGTTTTGGTCACAGGAAAGCTAAGAAGGAGCACGGAGGCCTGAGTGAACAAGCACCCTCAGGGCCCTGGAAAAGGTGGGCTGCTCGGCCCTGGTGGGCAAGAAGGGCCCGAACGAAGGTGCCTGGGAGGGTAGCAGAAGCACGGGGACATGACGCGCCACATGTGCCCGGCGACCCTCCCTCCTGCCCTTTCCTGGGATGTCCGGGGAGGGGAGAGCCAGCCCCAAATGCTGCTGCAGATAGTCCCCGTCCTGGTCAAGAGTCCTGTGAGGAAGCCTCTGCCCACACAGCCCTTCCCTTACCAGACTGCCGGCGCCCCTGGCGCGCATGCATGGACACCTCATCCTGGGAGGACCAAGCCTTCTTCAGGCGCTCTGGGCTGCAGCGGTACCGACTGGGATCTGCCCACAAGATTGACAATCAGCCTGGGCCTGGACTCTGACCATCCCTGACCCCACCTCTGCTGCCTGCCCCAGCTCCAGGGGCCAGAAGCCTCCAGAGCTCCCTCCTCTTCCAGCTTCCACCCAGAAATGTTAGGCAGTGGGGGGTCCCACCTGCCAGCAGGACCACACCCTGGATCCTGCAGTAGACCCCTAGCCCTTGACAGAAGGAGCGTCCCCATTCTCCCTGCTCCCTGGAAGAGAAGTACCAGGCAGAGCTTTCCCAGGATCTAGAGATGTGGCCAGTCAGGGAGAAAGCAGGCAGAAAGAGCACACTTACAGTAGGAGTCCATTTCCAAGATGGCTTCCTTGGCCTGGAAGGGAAGGAAACGCACACAATTACCACGTTGCTGTGCACGCACCTCTCTTGGCCCACCGACTTGCTCTTGCTGCGCTGGGACACCCCACACCCCGTGGTGCTGTGCTGAAGCCCACGGCACCTACTGCACTGACCCCCGCCTCGAGTGAAGCCGACGTCCAGCAATAAGGCACTGGTGGGCCCCTGGAGCTGGCTGAGGGACACCCTCTCCCTGCACCCGGTCACGGGGCAGGTGGGGCACCCCGGGAACTCACCTTCTGGGGGATAGTGGTGTGGTGGTTCTCCAGGATGAGCCTCTTGATGTGGTGAGTCCAGCTCCGTTTCTCCTCCGCTGTTTTGGCCTGGAAGGACCGAAGGGAGAGGGAACCAGGGTTATTACCACAAGCCGGAAGCCGTCAGCCTTGGGCCATGTCCAGTGCCTCTGCCCTGCCAGGGCACCTCTGTGAGGTTACCTGAGCTCCTCAACACAAACCCGAGACACGCCCACAGGAATCCCTACCTTGCAGAGGGAGACTATGAGGCCCAGCTCAGCTGAGCGAGCCGAGGTGGCGGCCGTGTTCCCGGCCCGCCCTCACCTGAATACTGTACTGCTGCTTGCCATGCTTGTAGTGGGTAACGGTGAAGCACAGGGAGTCTCTGGTGCTTTCGATCAGCATCAGGGAGGAGCCCTGGGGCAGAGGGAGAGCGCAGTCAAGCACACAAAGGGGTGGGGGTGGGGGGGTTGAACTGGGGCCCCAGCCCCTCAAGACCATCCGGGGAGACAGGGAGAGTAATCTCAGAAGGATGGAGCTGGATCCACCCCAACCCAGGGCCTACGAAGAGGTCAAGAAATGGAGCCTGGGGGCGCCTGCTAGCCTCGGACATTAGAGCCTGAGACTCTTGATCTCGGGGCTGTTAAGTTCGAGCCCTACATTGGGTGAAGAGATTACTTAAAAATAAAATTTTTAGGGGCGCCTGGGTGGTTCAGTCGTTGAGCATCTGCCTTGGGCTCAGGTCATGATCCCAGGGTCCTGGTATCGAGCCCCACATTGGGCTCCCTGCTCGGCGGGAAGCCTGCTTCTCCCTCTCCCACTCCCCCTGCTTGTGTTCCCTCTCTCGCTGTGTCTCTCTCTGTCAAACAAATAAAATCTTAAAAATAAATAAATAAATAAATAAATAAATAATCAATCAAATCTTAAAAAAAGAACGGAGCCTGGCCCACTACAAGGGGGGAAGAGGGCAGAGGCCATGACAGCAGCCTGGCTACCGGGATATGGCCCTTGTAGACAAAGTGATCGCCTCGCTTCTTGGTGATGAGCAGCGCTTTGTCAAAGAGGAAGAAGGTCCTCTCATTGCGCACACGGTGCACGCGGAACGTGCCCTCCAGGACGAGCTCCCCGTAGATAGTCAGGTCCGGCCCCTTCCAGTTGATGAGCAGCGACTGAATCTCCTACAGCAGAGAAGCCCCGACCCCCAGAGTCAGGCTGCTCGTGACCCTCTGGGGACGACACAGAACCCCAGAAACTCCTACAGACACAGACACCACCCGCATCCATCAGACACACACTGCCACAAGGGCCCCCCCAGAGAAGGCCACCCTGCAGGGAAACCCACCCTCGCGGCTCCCCGCAGCAGGGTGGCTGCACCCCGCCCACCAGCCGGCCCTGTCCCTCCAAGCGACCAGCCCTGGAGCACCTGGAGCCGGACCGCATGCTCGTGTCTCCTCTTCATGTCGTTGATGTACCAGGCCACACAGGTCATGGTGTCAATGGCATCTTCCACCACCTCGAAGCCATCCTCTTCTTCATCAAAATGTTTGGCAATTTCCTGTGTGGGAGACAGGTGCGTAGGCAGCCCAGACTCAGCCCTGCCCCTCCCCTGGCCCCCCACATCCTCAGGAAGACCACTGGACTACCTGGAGCAGCAGGTGGTACTTGAGGATGCGCTGCACAGGCTTCAGCAAGTAGGAGCCCAAGGGCAGAGAGTGCTGTAGTAGCTCCTGCCGGTCCCGAAAGAACTTGGCCTGTTGCTTGTCCCGCATGCACTCGGTCAGGGCGGCCACTGAGCTGGGGGTGGGGGAGAAGGGGCCATCACCACCTGGGAAGGCCTACATAGGGATGTGGGGTGCTCCAGGCCCACAAAATAACTGTCTCCCCCTCCACCCCAATACTCACTTGGGGTAGTTGTTGCAATACTGAGTGTAGATATCAAACTCTTGACTCTAAGAGGAGACCAAACAAAGATGGTGATTTTTGGGAGACTCCCATTTGACTCTAAACTTGGGTATACCAAAGACATGGCCCTGACCCCCCAGAGCACACTCGGCCCTCCTTTCCCTGAACACCTGCAGATCCATCTTTGGACCCATCTGTCTGGGACATCCCATCCACCCAGCGGCCCCTGGCTCTACCCCAGAATGCCCTTCCCACAAGACAGGGCACCGGGCACTTCCCCTGGACAGAGGCCTCCAGGACTCACACATCCTCTTAAGCTGGGCACTCCTGGGCCTCAGAGCCCCCAGCAAGGCGGGACAAGAGGCAAGGACCCAGCAGCCCCTCTTACCCTTTCCACGAAGCAGCTGGCCACAGCCACGGGATCACCGTTGCAGCTGTCCAGGTCTCGGAGTAGCTGGCTGGGGGAGGGGAGAGGGGTCATCAGACCCCGGACAGCACACAGCCTCCACAGCTACCAACACGCCCCCTCCCCAGCCTCCTGGTGCCCAGATACACAGCCAGCCCCGGGTGTCATGCCAAAGAGTCGGGGCGTCCATCCTCAAAGTGAGCCCCGCCCAGGCCAGCAACCATAGAGAGTACCCCGCACTGCCGCAAAGATGGGGAGCAAAGAACACCCACATGCTCAGCAAGCAGGAGAGAGGGGACACCAGTACCCACCTTGGGAGGGGAGACAGTTCCTTTGCAGGCAGAAGGAGTCAAACACACAAAGGCAGAGATTAACGGGAGAAGAAGAGAGAGAGGGGACTCCCAAAGGAAACAAAGGCCCCCAATTCAAAAGGATGCAGGAAAGGGAGAGAAACAGGGTGAGTCCCAGTACCCCCAAAACTTAGATGGGGCGCTATGGGAACCCTAAACACAATCTTCCCCGGACACCTCCTCCTGTGCACTTCTCCCGACCCCACCATCCGCCAGCCCAAGTCACCCTGCACCTGTTCTCCCGGACTTCTGCAGCTGGCCCAGCAGGAAGCTCCTCTGGCCCACGTTAAAGGGCCCAGGGTAAGGCTCCTCCTACTACTGACGCTGTCCCCTCAGGCACTGCCCCTCCCAACCAGTGTCCCTTCCCTGGGGAATCTGTGGGCCCAGGCAGCAACACACCAGATCCTCGAGGAGCCCCTGGTGCCCTGAAGCAGCCCCTCACCAGGTTTTGCTCAGCCTCCCCCATCACATTCTGCCTGGCCTGTCATTCTCCTAATGGGTCAGATTACCCCCAGGGAGACTTGACTTCCCATGGGGTCTGTGGGAAGGTGAAGAAGAAGTAAAGAGATGTGCAAGTGGGCAGTGATGATGGGAGAGACAGAGGGGCCACACAGGTACAGGGGGAAGAGCATTACATGCCAGAGGCCAGAAGGTCCCTGAGGGGGCGCTGGCCCAGGCTGGACCCAACATGCACACGGCCTCAAACGATCTAGCACATTAGCCCCAGGGCACATGGTCCCACATCCCCCTCTCTACTACAGGGAACTAACTATTCCGCTGAACAGGGATGGACCACCATTACCCACCCTCGGCGATCAGGCCCCAAGCCCACATATCACAACCCAAGAGACTGGAGACATCCAGGGCTCCTCCTTAGGCCCCGAGATGGGCCTCACAGGCAGAACACGGTGTGTTAGGCCCATTCCATACCTGTTCAGTGCATAGATGTTTTCTATGTTCCCAAAGAGGGCGCTGACTTGTTCTGGTTTCAGCAGCCCAGGCGTGTCAATGATCTTCAAGAGGTAGTCCTGTGTGGAGGGAGGCATCAGAACCCAGCCCCTCCGGGTGCAGTCCTGTTTCCCCACTTCCCGCAGAACACCTCAGTTCTGTCCTGCATTTACAATGACAATGTAACCTCACAGACATCGCCTATTGTACTGGGCTGGAGAGCTCTCCTCCCCCGACCCCACCCCCCC